GGCCTGAACGCTTCAACCAAAAACCATGGAACGTTTTCCTCAGAACGTGTTTGCCGGACACTCCGCAAGGCTATCCAGCACAAAATGGCCTGCGGCAAAGTAACAAGCATTCCACATTTACAGCCAAAAGATCCAGAAAACGGCCTATGGAGCAGGGAGGGGACAAGTATGGTGATCTTTCCCCTCTGCTCTGCCACATGTCCACATCTTGTATGTCCACATCTGGAGTACTGCGTCCAGTTCTGGGCCCACTGGTACAAAAAGACAGGGATCTCTTGGAAAGAGTCCAGCGGAGGGCCACACAAACGGTGAGGAGCCTGGAGCATCTCCCCTATGAAGAAAGGTTGAATGAACTGGGTCTGTTCAGCCTGGAGAAAAGAGGACTGAGAGGAGACCTGATCCAGGTCTATAAATATCTCAGGTGTGGGGACAGAGTGGTAAACTCAGACTGTTTTCAGCAGTGTGTGGAGAAAGGACAAGGGGGAACGGCCAGAAACTGCAGCATAAACTGCAGAAGTTCCGCACAGATGTGCTCAAGAACTTCTTTACAATGTGGTGATGGAGCGCTGGAACAGGCTGCCCAGGGAGGTGGTGGAGTCTCAGTCTCTGGAGATGTTCAAGACCTGCCTGGACATCTACTTGTGCGACCTGATGTAGAGAACCCGCTTTGGTAAGAGGTGGAACTCGATGATGTCTGGAGGTCCCTTCCAACTCTTATGATTCCGTGATTCCTTAAACCTTAACACTAAAACAGATCGCTAATATTTACCTTAAAATCTAATCTAAAACAGTAACTCTAAAGCCCGTGCAGAAGGGTAACCCTTCACAATTAGCAGTAATACTGAATAGTAGCACTTAACCGTAACCCAAAGCGGGATCAGGCTGAGCTTGTCTGCTTCCAGGGCTTCGCTTTGTGTAAAAAAACGAAGAATGCTCTACCCTTGGCTCTGAATGCTGTGTCCATGCCTTTGGATCGAGTGACAATTCGATGCGCTGTGCTTCTCCGTGGCTCCACGTCTGCATTCTGTGACGACAAGAGTCAAAAGGAAAACGCTCTGAAGAGGGAACGGGAAATGCGAGGAGTGACAGATGTTGTGCTCCTTGGGAGCACAATCGAAATAGTCGGGAGCGTTGTAGTCCGCACTGCGTACAGAAAAAACCCCGTCAAAAGGACCGCAGAAGGCAGGCAGAATTTGCAAGTTCTCGGCATCGGAATGGCACTACGCGCTGTCACGGTTTGTAAGCGGCACTCGCGGTGAACTGCTCTGGAGCGCTTGCCGTTGCTGCATGAGAAAACACACTTCTCTGCGAATGCAGCTTGCAGCCTCCAGCAGTGGTCTCGTGTTTCTCGGTCACCGGGAATGGTCGACTGCAGTCGGCTGCTTTTCTCCAAATAGCGTGCTCTTATGCACATGTGGGAGAGAAGATGTTTGGACTTCACCTTGTGTAAAAATATGAAGATTGCACTACGCCTGGTTCTGAAGTTTGTCTCCATGACTTTCGATTGAGAGACATGTCGTGGTAGTGAGTTTATCCCTGGCTCCAAGTCTGCAATCTGTGACGACAAGAGTCGAAGGAATAACGATCTGTAAAGAGGGAAGGGGAATAGCAAGGAGTGACAGATGTTGTGCTCTTTGGGAGCACATCCGAAAAAGTCGGGAGCGCTGTAGTCTGCACTGCGGAGAAAAAAAACCTTTTCGGCAGGTCCGCAGAAGGCAAGCAGAATTCACAAGTTCTTGTCGTCAGAATGGCACTATTTCACTCTCGCTGTTCGAAAGCGGCACTCGGAGTGAACCGCTCCGAATCGTTTGCACTCGCCACCGAGAATTCGCTATTCTCCCCGAATGTCGCTTGCACCTTCGAGCAGCGGTCCTGTTCTTCTTGGTTGCCGGGAAAGGTCGAGTGCAACCAGCGTCTTTTCTCCCAGTAGTGGGCTCTTCTGCTCACGTAGGAACGGAGCAGTTTGGACTTTGCCTCATGTAAAAATAAGCAGACAGCTCTACGCCTGGCATGATGGTTGTGTCCATGCCTTTCGATCCAGTGACAATTCGTGGTAGTGTGCATCTCTGTGGCTTCAGGTCTACATTCTGTGACGACAAGAGTCAAAGGGATAAGCCTCTCTGAAGAGGAAACGGGAAATGCGAGCAGCGACAGATGCTGTGCTCTTTGGGAGCACAATCGTAAATGTCCAGAGCAATGTAGTGTGCACTGCAAGGAGAAAATACCCCGCCTGAAGGACCGCAGAAGGCAGGCCAAATTCGCACGTTCTCGGCATTGGAATGGCACTTCTTCCCTCACGCTGTTTGAAAACAACACTAGGGGGAACCGCTCCGGAGCATTTGCACTCGCCACCAAGAATTAGCTGTTCTCCCCGAATGCCGCTTGCAGCCTCCAGCAGCGGTCTCGTGCTTCTCGGTCGCCGGGAAAGGGCGTCTGCAGTCGGCTGCTTTTCTCCGAGTACCGGGCTCTTCTGCACACATACAAACAGAGATGTTCGGACTTCGCCTCATGTAAAAATACAAAGATTGCACTACGCCTGGCTCTGCGTCACCATATGCCTCATCTCTTATGCCTTCAAGGTGGCACAGTGGCAAAGGTTATGTTTTTTTTTAATGGGGGAGCATTAGCACAGCTCTGCTGGGTTTAATGGGGGAACACTGGAACAACCCTGCATGCTTTAATGGTGGCACATTAGCACAGCTCTCTGGGTTTAATGGCGGGACTTTGGCACAGCTCTGCTGGGTTTATTCCGGCACAGCTTTGTTGTTCTTAATGGTAACACAATTGACAGCTCTGCTCTGTTCAATAGTGACACCTGCACAGCTCTGATGGGTTGAATGGTGAAAGACTGGCAAACATATGCTGGGTTTCATGGAGACACACTGGCCCATCTCTTCTGGGTTTCCTGGTGACGCATTGCACAGCTGTGCTAGGTTGAATAGTGGCATAGCTCTGCGAGGCTTAATGATGGCACATTTTACAATATTTTGGTGGGCGTTTTTCCTCTAGGTCCCTTACCAGTGCTCCCAACTTTTTTGAATGTGCTCCCTGAGGACAACATCTGTCGCTCCTCGAACTTCCAGTTACCTCTGAAGAGAGGGTTTTCCCTTCTACCCTTGTGGCCACAGAATGCCCAAGTGCAGTCACAGAGAACCACACTGCAACGAATTGTCGCTGGATCGAAAGGCATGGACACAACCTTCAGAGCCAGGCATAGTGTCACCAGCAGAGCTGTGCCAGTGTGGCCCCATTTTACCCTGCAGAACTGGGACAACGTGTCACTAAGAAACCCTGCAGCAGAGCTGTGCAGTGTGCCTCCATTAATCCCAGCAGTGCTTTGCCAATATGTCACCACTAACCCAGCAGAGTGGTGCCAATGTGTCAGTAATAAACTGAGCAGAGCTGTGCAATGTGCTATCATTCAAACAAGCAGAGCTGTGCCAGTGTGCCCGCATTAAAGCCAGCAGAGCTGTGCCAATGTGCCACCAATAAACCCAGCAGAGCTGAGCCAATGTGCCACCATCAAGCCTAGCAGAGCTGGGCCTATGTGCCAGAATCAATCTCAGCAGCGCTGTGCCCATGTGTCACCATCAAAGCCACCAGAGCTGTGCCAATGTGTCACCATGAAGCCCAGCAGAGCTGTGCCAGTGCGCCTGCATTAAAGCCAGCAGAGCTGTGCCAGTGTGCCCGCATTAAAGCCAGCAGAGCTGTGCCAGTGTGCCACCAATAAACCCAGCAGAGCTGTGCCAATGTGTCACCAATAACTTCAGCAGAGCTGTCAATGTGCCACCAATAAACCCAGCAGAGCTGTTCTAATGTGCCAGCATCAAGCCCAGCAGAGCTGTGCCAATGTGCCACCATTAAAGCCAGCAGAGCTGTTCTAAGGTGCCAGCATCAAGCCCAGCAGAGCTGTGCCAATGTGCCAGAATCAAGCCCAGCAGAACTTTGCCAGTGCGTCACTATTGAACCCAACAGTGCTGTGCCAATGTGCCACCATTAAGCCCAGCAGAGCTGTGCCAATGTGTCACTATTAAGCCCAGCACAGCTGTGCCAATGTGTCACCTTTAACTAGTCAAGTCAGACAGACCAAGACTAAGATGCTGACCTGTAACCAGGCACAGTGCAGCTAGAGCTCCTTCTGCAGTCACTGGAGCAGCTTCCCCACCTCCAGATCTACAGGCAATATGCACACAAAGCACAGCAAGTCCGTCTATGCTCCACACTCACAGAGAACAAGTTGACAAGTTGAATGTTTACATTAATTATGCTAAGTCACTATTCAAAGCAATGAATAAGCTTTTTGGAGAAAATAAATAAAAAGAGAGAAGTCCCCACGATCTTCTACTTCTCACGAGCCAGGAAATGCAGCAGACATCCATTCATCCTCACCACCACAAAGTGTCAGCAGTCCCAGCAGTGCCCGTCTCCAGTCCTGCCCTTTTCGAGTCCCTCTCCTGCCTCTGATGTAGCCCTGACCAGGCCCTGTTCTGCCCCCATTCCGTTTAGCCCTGTTCTCATCTTGTCCCTGGATCCTCCACCTCACCTTGACTGTGTTCCTGTCCCTACCCCGACCCTACCACTATCTCCACACCTACTCTCACCCTTTTCTTTATCCTCCTATCACTGCCCGTCCCTCTCTTTTCCCTCTCCTGCCCATCTCTCCTGCCCCTGTCCCTATCACTCGTCCTGCCCCTACCCCTACACTTTTCCCTATCCCACCCCTTTCCCTCTCCTGTTTCCTTCCCTTCCCTATCCCTGTGCTGTCCCTGCTCCAGGCTGACAACAGAATCCCCTGGCAGCCCACCACAAAGTTGAAGGGAAATTGTAAGCAAGGAGAACAGAAGTGTGATGAATGAGAGGGGAGGACAGAGAGGGCAGAAGAGAAGAAAGGACACAGGTAAGAGGAGCAGAGCTAATGGGGCAGGAGAAAGTAGGAGATGGCAGGGGAGAATGGACAAGAGGGAAGAGCAGAAAGGCAGTGAAAATAGGATTCCTTAAGATAAGTGTTTACAGCTTTATTACAAGACAGGATGCCTCACAGTAAGATGGATGGTTTCCCAATTCCTGAATTACAGAGGATACATAAACAGAGGGGTTAAGAAACCTAGCAAGAAAATGCCACATTCTAAAGCAAACGGTCCAGGAACAATTCCAGCTACTGCACTCCCTTGAGAGCCTCAATGGGAATCTCATCTGCTCACAGGGCCCAACGCGAGAGGATCAGCTGCTCTGGGGGAAAAGGACTGGGAACCATGCTCCAGTTTGTATACTTGGAAGGAGGCTAGGGAAGCAGCTCCACGTAAAGACAAGAATGAAACGATGGCCAAGCTCCAATGCAACAGGTGCAGGACCAACAACCCCTCGTGGAGCTCCAAATATTTTGGAAAAACGGGTCCTCACAAACTGTAAGAGCCTTAAATGACCCCGGAGCAGAGGCCTCCTTAACATATGGGAACCCCAAGAAACGTGAAGGACAACTGGTAGCTATTATAGGGTTGGGAGGGAAACAACCTGAAGCTGTACAAACACAAATAGAAATGAGAATAGGAAACCCCCCACAACGACTGCATCCTGTGATGACTGTCCCCGCCCCAGAATACATCGCAGGGATGGGCATTCTAAAATGACTAACACTGAATCTCCCCAGTGCTCAGCCCCAGTTTGGAATAAGGAATTGCATTCGTGCTCCAACAATTTCAGTGGGAAAAGTAACAATGCCTGCTGTGCAGATTCCTGCTGCAACTGAAGTAGTGACAGTGAAACAGTACAGGACCTGGGGGGGGGGGGAGCATGAAGAGATATCAAGGACAATTAATGATTTATTGGGTGCAGGAGTTTTAAGTCAGCTACTACAGCTCGGAACAATCCAACATGGCCTGTCAAAAAGCGGTGGGTTGTGGGAGGAATTAAACAAGCTCACCCCGCCTCTCACAGCAGCTGCAGCAGGTAGTGTTGCTTTAACAGAAAAAGCTCAGAACCATTCCAGAGCAGGGCATGCTGTAATTGATTTAGCTAATGCTAGCTTCTTCACAGTCCTGACTGCAGAGGAACGCCTTCCCGTGGCAGAGGTGACAAGATCCTGTCTGTAGATGGCCTCAGGGACGGCTGCACAGCCCAACCATCTGCCACAGAACTGTGGCTGAACATCTGCATGACACCAAACTGCCTCCTCACATGCAAACAGTTCATTATGTAGATGACGTCCTGACTCAGGGAAACCGAGGAAGGGGTGCAACAAATGCTGGAATTGGTTGTGGATCAGATGAAACAGAAAGGCTGGGAAATTCATCCTACTGAAATTCAAAAAGTGACATTTTTAGGAATTCAGAGGCATTTTGGGCATTGGGGAATACTACTCAAAACTCAACACAACGTTTTAGACTTGGCAGTACCCTGTAATAAGAACGAGGCACAGCAGTGTATTGGGCTGTTTGGTTTTTGGAGACAGCACGTTCCATACGTAGGACAAATTTTAACCCTGTTGTTTATATACAAAGTGACAAGGAAGAGTTGGAGGGGGAAACAAACAGCAGGTTGCCTTTGAATTAGCAACAAAGGCTCTTCAAAGGGCCTCAGACTTAGGGCCCATGCAAAAAGCAGAAACAGAGTTAAACATGTCTGCAAATGGAGCACTTGCCAATTGGAGCTTCTGGCAAAAACATGGAAAGAAAAAGGTTCCCCTGGGTTTTGGAGGAAGAAAACTCATGTCACGAGAGGAGTAATGGATGCAGATTATCAAGGATGAATCAAATTCCGTTCAACAGCGGTGAACAAGATTTAATTAAATCCAAGATTTAATTCAAACCCATGACAGAACAATTACTGATATTGTCAGTTTTAAAAACAATTGTGAGAAAAGGAGATCCACCTCACATCACCACCACTCTGGAAAACTATGTACGTAGTACATAATTTTATTTTGCAGATCCTGCACGACTGGATTTACCCGCCTACCAGCACGGTCCATTTGGAAAAACATACCATCCGTGTGCCTGGATGTGAAGAACGGCCTCACCTGAAATTATCCCCAGTGCCTGCTGTCAGAGCTTGTGACCTGAGTGCAGTGATGGCATTGCTAACGGCACGCTGCCACTGTGACCAAGGCACAGGTTGGATGAACAGATTGATAACTTTAGGACAAGGTGGAACAACTTTGCTCTTTCTTGCTAACTGCCATGTGTGTGGAGGCCCAGGAGGATGGGAACACTGGACGTGGATGGCCTGTGCAACCCAAATGGTGGGATAGCAAAACGAGTGCAGCCCATGAGGGAACAGAGCTCTGGGCCAGGACAGCAATCCCTGCCAGATGCAGCAATACAGAGAAATGATCAGAGAAACAGGGAAAAATACACAGAAATTGAAACACGTTCAGATTACTTCACGTGTCCTAACCTATGATGACTCAAAGACCACACCTGCCATGGTCCCCCAGAGCAAGGCTGTGTCTGTATGAGAATTAAGTTTTGATACGAGATTTCTGACTTACGAATATTAAAGCCTTCTTCATAGTTTGAAGAAAAAGGCTGAGCTGTTGGAGGCTCTGGTCAGCTACATTTCTGCCCTTCTCGAGTGTAGTTCAAGTTTCATACACAGCAAGGTGTGAAGAAAAGCTCCCCCTCCAGTCCTAGAGTTCAAAGAAAACTAAAGAAAGTTAAAGCAGTAAATATCAAGCTACAACAAAGTCCAAGCTTCTGAGTTCAAGGACATCCTCTGAAACCTAATTTAAGGTAGTAAAATTCACCTTCTTGCCTCAGGTTAATATCTCCAAGCTATTTTCAAAGATCTTTTCATTACCTCCCAATACGTTTGCATACAGCTAGTAGAACAAACAGAGCTAATAAAGAGACCCAAACACACACAGTGAAGGCGTGAAAGTCCAGCAGTTCCAGCAGTGGGGGAAACACGCACCTGAGATCAGAGACTGCAGGGAATGCTCCTTTGTGGGTGGGATTTAAGTCACACCAGGCACAACGCTTTGCTTTTGAGAAAGGCTGCTTTAACAGCACGCCGTCTGGGAAAGCACACTCTAACCAGGTTTGTGAAGAGCCTCCCAAATCCTCACAGTCTTACTGCTCTGGGAAGCACGAGGTTCTCTTCTCAAAAACATTTCTTACCAGTGCATCCAGCGAGCACACACATCCGATGTTGTGACAGAGAACATGGGCAGAGACCAGCAGGTTGGAAGGTTGTCACCTTCGGGCCAGATCAATACTACAGATATCCGGCAAGCCCTTCTGTAGCAGAAACACGATTGCTGAAGCTGAGTAACGTCCAGTGGGTGAGTATGAGTAAGGTGAGGCTCAGCACAGTGCTGAGGGATCTGATACTGACATGTCATTGCAATTCAGTGCACAGGTTGGAAAGGCAGTAAGGTGGGCCTGAAGATGGAAAAGGACAGCCGTGTGCTGCACTGTCATGCTGGAACCACGTCAATCACTACTCTCAAAGCGTGTATCTGCTAAAAGTCTGCAGTGTTTGAGACCTCCAAAACAATCTGCATCACCAGACTAATCAGCACTTTATGAATGCACACCAAAGACCCCAAAGTTCCTCTCAGAAGAGACGAGTAAAACATCCTTACAATACTTCCACATGCAGGATTCTACTTCTGACTTTGTAATTCCATATTATAAAACAAAAGAAGGCTTCTTTCTTGCAATACCAATTCTTAACAGCAGTTTTACAATCGAGTATGAGAACTAATCCACTTACCTTTACAGGATGGAGTTGCTCAAGAATACCAGAGTTGGCAGATTTGGAATGCCACACTTGAGGATTTTTCAGAAACTACTGCAATGAAACACAACATTAAATAAAAAATAACCCAACACAGCCATGTAATCTAAACTGACCTTGAAAGCTGTCAGTGTCTAACTACTGTTTTCCTGTAGTTATGGATCTCTTTAGCAGCCACCAATTTACTCAGCCAGCCTTTATAAACCTTACTTTTTCATAACTACACAAGGGCTGATCCAAAAGTAATGCCTCCTGTCTTATAAAGCTGGCCCACAACATCACAAGTGGATGCTGGTGGGATGACAGCAGAGGCTGAACCTTCCTGCCAGCACTCCGCTACATTTTGCAGCCGTGCCACAGATGGCAGCAGAGGGACAGAATGACAGCACAGCACCTGGCTCGGAAGTGCTCATGGAGCACAGGGTGTCCCTGAACTCCTCCACACTGAAAAAATCGCACCACTGACATCCATCAATGCCTGCAGAACATTTATGAAGCCCGACACATGGAGGTGAGCACAGTGAAGCAGTGGTGGTGCATTTCAGCAGTGACAACAGCAATGCAAGACGAGCCACCCAGACAGCAAACGGATTTATTTTAATTATTATGATTTCTTTTTAAACAAGCACAGCACACAGGCTCTCGCTCAACACTGGAGGAAAAAAAAACAACCAACAAAACGATAGTTAATGGTGGTGACCATGTTGAAAAACAGCTTTGTAGCTGACAACTCGCCCTATGTATCCGTTGTCATTTCTGTGGAAATAAATAGGAGGCATTCCTTTCAGAGCAATCTACGTACCTCAATAAGCCATCATCCTAATAATGCAGTAACACTAATAATAGGAACAGAAAAACACAGACTCTCAGAATATCTTTTGTGGGGATGGAACAAAACCAACACTGCAGTCAGCTGCAGTTATTCCCTGGGAAGGAACTGATGCCAGCAGAAAGGTCACGACCACTTCCAACAGTCAAACCATAGCAGCATGTCAGAGCACGCAGCCTTGGAATAAACCCCAAGGATAAACCAAACTGCATCTCTGTTCCAGCCATTTTTTTCTTCAATATACACACAAAGACTGGGAGGCACTAACCCTACAAATTCATTGTACCACTGTGTCGTATGGTAAGAAGAAAAGCAGGAAGTTTGAGACTTTGTCAGGCACAGAACCTGCAGCACTGGGGGCGAGCAGTTCGGAATTCTGGCATCTGGTCGTAATTTGCGTGCATGCACAAGAAGCAGTGCAACTCACTTCACCAAATGTAAGTCAATGCAACCAAACGTATTGAAGGTGTACTTACAAGACTGAGGTAGAAAGCTGCTTGCTGAGGGGAAGGTTGGAAATGAGGCAGGGGAGGCCTGACAGATTGAGTGATTGTCTGGGAAAAGAAAGGAACAGAAGAACTGTTCAGATGACATGACAGCCATTTTCTGTCACATATGCAGTAACAAGCAAAGAATGAAAATCAAGGCATTTGCCTTCGCCATCACCATATGTGCCACTTCTCTGCAGAGCTGCGGCACAGGCAGCACAAGTCTACTGGCACAGTAATTGCCAAGCCACATTTTCAGAAACCAGCATGACAAAGTATTTCCCTTTTACCATGCACAAAGAAATGCTGGCTTACACAGATGAGAGTCTCAAGTGGGATAAGAATATGGAGGCACTTCATTCTATTTTCTCAAACTGAAAGGAATCAAATGTCTACTCAAGGATAAAACAAAGCAAAAAAACAAACACCCATGGAAAGCACATTAACCTTTGCAGGCCCTTCAGATCAAAGTGCTCCAATAGCAGTAGCTATAGAAGCTGTTATGCTCTACAGTTCCTCTGGTAGCTTTGTGGTTGGAGGTGGTGATCTTTCCGTGGGCTTTGGAGTGTTTGTTTTTAAGCACCAGTAAGAAACATCACCAGCCTTTTATCTGCACATCAATAAAGCAGAGAATACAGCTCTGAGCAGCCATCTGCCAGGACTTGTTTAAAGAAGCAGTCAAGGGAGTTGACAAGGCCCCATTTTCCAGGTCTTCTGACTTGGTCCTCAATGCAATCTGTTGCCAGGACCTTGAACTTCACAGCCACAGCATGCAAATACAGTTTAATAATGGAGTCTTACAGAAAACAGTGGCTGGCCTGATATCGTGTATCTGTACACAGATGAGCAAAAAGGGCTCAAGTCAGGGCTTAAGATTTATCACATCATATACATGCACAATACGTGCACTTCAGGAGAGATCCTGAATTCTCTGAAAAATATGCTCATTTAAAAAAAAAAAAAAAGTTAAACTCAGTAGCTTCCTCAAATTAAAATCTTGAATATACCAATAGCAGTTGTTCAAACACACAGCACTGGACATTTGCAGATGACAATAACAGTGCAGATCATTATTCTTACTGCCGCGGCTGCAATGATGCAGGTTATCACTTGACAGCTGTCAGCACTGTACCTCGCTAACTCGGGGTGGGACTCTAACCCACAATCCCTGGAATTGACCTGAGTTCTAGATGGTTATGAGCTTGTGATTACCAGTGCCCAAGCGCTAGCCTAGCTTACAAGTGCTAGCCAGAGGTGGGGCTCGAACCCACAGTCCCTGCAATCAGACACAGTGCTACAAGGCACCTGTCCTTCCCGGTCATTACCTTCCCGCCCCGCACCCCTGCACTAGTCCACCCGCAGGGTAAAGCCCTCCCGCATGGGGCGGCCCTCACGTCTGACGGAGTCCCTGGCTCCTGCGTACGCCTTACGGAGCCTTCCCTTTAAACGTACCTGTTCCGCTTCCACATGGTCCCCGTCTGTCCCCGCAGTGATCGGATGAGCAGGGGGAGTCCTTCCAAGAATTCTCGGGGCGCGCCAAAGGCGTCTCCCTCCTCAACTGGTCCTGCAGCCAAACAGAGAGTGTCCCATCTGGGGTGCCCAACTGATCTGCAGAATCAAACTCTCGAACCCGTGCGGCCGTGGCAGCACTGCAGGGAAACCTGCGCTGCAGCGTGTGCCCAGTGCCCCCGGTCCCGCTGCTGGGCGCTGCCGGGTGCAGCCTGGCTCGGTCCTCACCGCACCTCCCTGCACGGGGCGAGCGGCGCCGAGGACGCGGGGCGGCGGGGCGGCGGGGCGGCGGAGAGGCGGGGCGGCGGGGCGGCGGGGCGGCGGGGCGGCGGAGAGGCGGAGAGGCGGAGAGGCGGAGAGGCGGAGAGGCGGAGAGGCGGGGCGGCGGGGCGGCGGGGCGGCGGAGAGGCGGAGAGGCGGTGCGGCGGGGCGGCGGGGAGGCGGGGCGGCGGGGCGGCGGAGCGGCTAAGCGCATCCTTCCCCGCGCGGAGTCCCGCGGCTCCGCCGTCGTGCCGGCACCACCGTGCCAATCCCCCATCCGCGGACGCCATTGGAGGACAGCCCGCGCTCGCCCCCTTCCACCGTGCTGCCATTGGTCGGTCCGCCGGATGGGGCGGGCGCTCCGCGCGGGGTCCGTTCCGTCCGCTGTCGCGCCGTTATTGCGTCATCTCCGCGCGCGTCCTGCATGGCCCCGGTTGGGGCTGCGGGCAGAGGACGAGGAGGGCGGGGGCGCGGGGGACGGCAGTGCAGCCCACCCCAAACGGAGTCCAAGTGCCCGCACAGCAGCACCTCCACGAGGAGCGGGTCGGCATCGCTGTGGAGCAGCCGAGCCTCTTGGAGGAGGACTTAGAGTCAGGCAGCCGGTCCCAGGCACCAGGCAGCACACTGAAGCGTCATGCAGTCACACTTCTCTCCAAATTCCGTGCTTGATGAAATCCGAAGAAATCTTCATACCATGGTGCTTTCAACCAAATGATGTCAAAATATTCTTTCTCACCACTCACTTCCCTTTTCTGCACTTGAAGCAGCAGCCCGCCAATCATCGGGGGCTCAGTTTGCCATCACAGATTGTCAGTGGTCATCTGAAGGCTTTGTTGGCTGTCAGAGGGCTCCACTGATCATCAGAGATCGTGTGTCCCTTCCACGCCCCCCTCTGTGTCTCTCTATGTCACTTCTGCTGTGTGCTTTCCATGTTGCTTCCCAGTGGCCCCGTGATGGTTTCTGGTATCCCCAAAGCCACCTCAAGCACACCAAGGGGTCCCGGTGTCCCCGTGGCAGAGCTCCTGGCATCCTCGTTGTTGGTTCTGGAATGCCCAAAGCCACCATGACCCCACAAGGGGATTCTGGGCTCCCCGTGGGGGTCCTGGTATCACCAAGGCCATGGTGACCATGTACCCGTCACCTCCTACGCGCATCACCATGTGTCCCCTTGATGCCACCATGTCCCCTCCTGAAATGGCAGGAGATTGGAGACCCCCAGACCCAGCAGGGAGGTGACAGGGTTCACCCCCAGGCCCCCGGCCACAGAACCACGCAGTGTGGTTCTGGAGCAGTCCTGTTGCATCCTGCCACAGAGCAGGGGCTCCTGGAGTCACTGAGGGGACACTGAGGTGACTCGAGGGGCTGCTGGGGGGGCAAGGTGGAAGGGGTGGAGCCAGAGCTCTAGGCTGCAGGTCTCTGGGGGATGACTGCAAACCCGGGAACCCCAACCCCTATGGAGTCCCCTCACGTTGCCCCAGGACCTCTCAACCCCTCCAAAATCCCTCAGTGCCAATGGGAACTCCAACCTCAACGGGACTCCCCATTTCTTCCCAAATATAATAAAACCCCTGGAAGAAAGACAGGACTCCTGGGAATGCACACACCTCCCAGCCCTTTTTAGGACTCTCCCCATTGAAACAGGAGCCCAGAGAGCCCCACAGCCCAACGGGACCCCCAGCCACAATGGGACTCCCCAGTCCTCCCAAGACCAGTAAGATCCCCTCCAACAAATCGTATAGGAGACCCTGGAGTCCCCGGAGTCCCCAGCCCCAATGAGCGACCTCCTAACCCTCCCACCACCAAGACCATCACCCCCCCCTCAAAGTCAGGACCTCTAGGAGCCCCTAACCCCAATGGGATGCCCCCATAATCTCACTCTTTTGGGGCCCCGCATTACTCCTGTGTTCTCCTGCTGTCCCTTGGTGGTTTTGGTGCACCCAGCGTCCCCTTGGTGATTCTGTGCCTCCATGTCCCCTCGGTCCCTGTCCAAGTGGTTCTGGGGGCCCCTGGGCCACCCTCAGTGTCCCCCTTTGTTCCCTCCCCAGTCGCTCTGGGTTCCCAGTGCAGAAGTCATTGCTGAAAAATCACAGTTGTGTGTCTGCATCTGCAACTTCGGCTGGAAGTCCTAGGGCTTCCTAGGTGACTCATCATGCTAGAAAGGGGTGGGGAAAGGGGGACAAGTTGTTCTCCCCACACGCACAGTAGAAGACAGTAACTTTATAGAATCCCATTTTTAAGGAAGGGAGAAAGGAAGACTCAGGGAAGTGCAGGCTGGTGAGCCTCACCTCTGTTCCTGGGAAGATCATGGAGCAGATCCTCCTAGAAGCTATGTTAAGGCACATACGAGACAAAGAGGCAACTGGAGACAGCCAGCATGGCTTCACCAAGGGCAGATTGTGCATGACCAATCTGGTGGCCTTTTATGGTGGAGTGAGGGTACGTTCACCCCTGTACTTCCTGGCCTGTGGCAGGATGCAACAGGACCACTCCAGAACCCCACTAGATGGTTTTGTGGCTGGGGTCTTAGTTGCCTTGGGTAGGTTGAGAAAGGGGAGGAGTGCAGTTGGCGCACATGTATGAAGTGAGAATGAATAACGGGTGAAGCAACGCCTTAAAAATCGGCCTTTTTGGTGTGGACCCCAACCTGCTGTATGACACGGGCTCTGGGATCCGTGCCTCTGCTTGTGACATGACTGGAAGTTCCGAGTGCCGTAGGCGTGGGGAGAGGTGTTAGTAGTGCAGTGTCCATCTGCACGTGTCCATCCTCCTGCTGCCCTTTGGCTCTTGTGCAGCCGATAGGTGCTCGGAGAGTGACCGCCAGTAAAGAAGGATCTGTTATCCTCTAGTCGGTGCCCGACTGTGGGAGAACAGAGGGAGCTGAAAGATGTTTGTCCCTTGGACTGTTCATGTCTGGATCTGGTACCCAGTGGGTATTCTGTTGGTGCTGTGAAGCGCTGATGGTTTTGGTCGGGGTTTGTGTTTGGAGGGAATTAGAAGTAGATGTTTTGGGGTTTTTTTGCAGCTTAAGCTTTGATCCCCCAGTCCAAGCCCTGTGGTTCCCGCTGGGGAAGCAGTGTGAGGGAGGTGAAGCCCTAAGCAGAAAGGCGGCGGTGCCTGGAGCTCTCCGTCACATCTGTGCCGATCTCAGCAGCTGTGGTGCTGTCTCTGTGCACCTGGAGGATGTGGTGCAGAGCTCTGAGCCTGGTGTTGGTGGCACACAGTGTGCAGTGGTCGTTCCCCTTGTCACGGAAGAGAAACCTTGCTGTTTCCAGCATGATCTAACAGGCTCCATTGAGCCAGTCCTGCCAGGACTTCCAGCCCTGAGGTGGATGAACTCCCCTGCTCCCTCCTTTGGGTCCCATGTTGTGTCGTTTCTGGCACAATCAGTGTAGATATCAGAGTTGGAAGGTGTCCTTTGGAAGGATTTAGTTAGAAAAGCACTCTGTGCCTGGGTGTTTGGCATCCTGAGAAATTGACTTGGTAGGTGGAGAACAGCATTGCACTCTGCGCTTCTGTCCTCCCGTGCGCAGGAATCACAGCTCTCAGCAGCATGGCGCTGCTGGATAGCACGTTACTGACAGTAAGGCGAGTCTCCTTCTTTGTGGCTCATCTGTCTCTAGGTGTTGCAGGACCTGTCTGGTGCAGGCAATCCGGTGCCGCCCCAAGCACCCAGTGTGCAGTGGAACAGCATCCTGCATCCTTCCATCAACCAGTCAGGCTTTGTGCAAGACCCAGGTGTGTGAGTTGGGTTTGGAGCTCATGGTACAAATCTGTTTGTGAAGCTGGGTGCGTAACTGGGAAGTGCCCGGCCTGATGATGTGCATTCTGTGCTGAGATAGCACCTGGAGGCTGTGCCAGCACTTTTTGCTGCAAGTGTTCCGGCGCCTGGCACCACGTTTGACTGTTGCCAGTCCTTTGGCCTCTGAGTGTTCGATGCAGGCCAGTAGTTGGGGTTGTAAGATGTTTCCTCTGGCTTTGGCAAGACTTTCCTATGACTGCTGGTTTTCCAAGCTCTGCAACCTTAAGCTTCCCAACGAGGAGTGGCTGTGACGCTGTTGGGTCTCATTTCCCTGTGTGACGGTAAGGGAAAATGAGCCCAGAGTTTCAGCCTTGGTGGCTGAAGGCATGTTCCTTGGGTGAAAGAGGAAATGGAATCTGTTATCTTAGTGGGTAATGCTGGCACCCTACTAGCAACAACTGCAAAATGTGGCTGGGATGGTGCTGGAAGGGTTCTGTCAGTGGGCCCTGTGGGCCGTTGTTACTAAAGACACGTGTGTCCAGTGGCACCTCTGGGTCCTTCACTCACTGCCTGCTCCTCTCCCTGGGGGACCAGGTTACTTGCAGAGGAATGCTCAGATGCCGCAGCACAGCTCTTCCCAGTCCGGCTCAGCCTTATTTTTCCATCTGCCTTCTGGAGGACAGATGCACGCCGCAGTGGAGCCATATCAGCAGAACTGCACGGGAAGCCACAGACCCCAGGCCGGGCAGCACAGCCCTCAAGGTGAGGCATGGGCAGCTTCTCAAGGGGGAACCGCGTGCAGCGAATGGGAAAGGCCTCTGTCAGAGGCAACATCTTGTCTTTGGAGAAAGCGTTTTGATTTGATTCTTCTTCGCCCACAGGCAATGCAAAACAGCCCACTCCTCGTGAGCTAGAACAACCTGTGCTCTGTGTATTATGCTGGGAGTCATGAACGATGTTGCTCTCAGGGCTGGCTGTACTTTCAACCGTTGCATCTCTCCTTCTCACTTAGAAAGATACAGGCAGCACCTCCAGTGTGTTAAAGAGCCATTTCGCTACACAGGGAAAGGAAATCACACGTTCTATGTTTTGGAAAGGGTTTAGAGGCTTTTTTACATCCTGTTCTGCACTGTATAGCTCAGTGTGGTTGGCTGAAGTTTGGGAGAGTGCCAGACAGCTGTAGACTCGGTGTTGTTCCTTAGCTGTGTCAAAACGCACATTACGTGGCTCCTATCCAGGCACTTTGACTTTTAGCACAAGTCCTAAGTCTCTCCCTCTTCTCCATGAGTGATCTTGAAGTATCTGCTGACAGGAGGTCTGCATGGCGGTTCATGAATGAACCAGTTGAACGATGCCGTCTTCCCCTCTTGCCACCCCTCCAGGAGCTTATCCCGTGTGGCCCAACTGCAGCGCTCTGCCCGGTGCCAACTTCTGCAGCGCAGGACTGGGAGGAAGATGAACCCGGCGGCAGCAGGGAGCCAGTTACGTGGCAGCGTTCCTCCTCAGCGGGGGGCAGGGATGCGCCCCCCAGCAGGTGGCATGGCTCACAGAGCACAAGGAGCAGTCGCCGTGTGTGCTGCTGCCAGCGCCATCCAGAACTGGTGAGGCGTGAACATTCCCTTGGTCTCTACGTATCAATCCATTCCCTCTGTCGTAGCTGGCTTTGAAAGCCATGGCTGCAGTTGCCCAAAGCTGGAGTGATAGTCAACGTACACTTCCTTAAAGATTTGCCTTCTGGAAGGCTTTTTCCTCTCCCTTCACTGGTAACAGAAGAGGCCCAAACACCAATTGAAGCATCTTTATTTGGAGTGAACGCCTGTTTTTTCCTTGCCCTCTCCAGGCCACCCGGTTATCCCAGTGTGAACCAAGGGGGAATGCTGGGCACTGGACCTCCTTACGGACAGGGAACTAACAGCATGGCTGGTGTGATCAACTGCCAGGGCCCACCTTATCCCGTGGGTGGGAACATGGCTAACGGCTCTGAAGGTAAGGCTGGGCTGAGTGCTGGGCTTTGAAGACTTCGCAGCATGGATTGAAAAGCAATGTCACAAATTCCTGTGACTTCCTAGGGGTGGCAGCAAGTCCTAAAGTGATGGGTCTGGCGAATGTCAAATTAACTCCTGTAACTAAAAATAGAAAGAGGGGAGAAGAGACCCAAAAAACTCCAGTCAAAGGTAAAACTTCTGTTTGTTTGTTAGTTTGTAAATGACACAGTGTATGTATCTAGTAATGAGTGCAGCGCCCGAGAGAAACCCAATGTGACTTGCCTTCTACTGCGAGCAGAGCTGCCATTAGCGTAGCTGTTTGTGCAGGATGTGATCTTGCTGCTCCGTGTGAGCACAGTATTACATCAGCAGCGCGGCCAGTGAGTGGGATATCGTCTGTTGGGATGTTTTCTCTTTTGGAGAGTGGCATATGCTGGCATCTCCTGCCAGGTGTGAGCAGCTGGGATGCAGCACTGTCCTCCCCATCCCTCTGCAGAGATCGATTTGTCCCCAAGTCAACGCTGGGCCGGCCTTGCTGTTATTAGTTGGAGGGAATGGACCGGACCAGATGATCCTGGTGGGTCGGTCGGTCTTTCCCAGTCTCCAAATGCAGTCCATAGCTAATGAGACTGTTGCTCAAATCAGACGTGGTCTCAGAAAAGTAGAGACTGTGCCAAAATCTACGTCGTGCTGGAGCCCTGGGGAATGCCATGTGCAGCTGGCTGAGGCGTTTCCTGACGTATGGAGCAAATGAGGCCACAGGAGGTCTCTCAAAGAGGTGGCTCTGCAACGTCTCCATGAGGTTTTCTTGGTGAAAGCTTTTCCTTTTTAGAAATGCATGTTCTGCGAGTAGCAGCTGGTTCCCTGGTACCTTTGTTGAGTCATAGTTGGCTTTTAAACTGACATGGACCTGATCTGAGACAAGTGTGGGTCTGGCAGAAAGCTGATCTGAATATGACAGCAGAACCTTGAGATCTGACTGCTCTTTGAAGCCATCTGGGATGTGATCCAGGTGTTTTTGTGCTCCTCAGTCCTGATGTGTTTCCTTCCATCCGTCCAGTTCCTCTGCTACGGCCAGCGAGATCACTGAACCCTGTGAGCTGGGTGGTGAGCCCGAGAGGAAGTGTCCTCTGGCATTGAGCGTTTCTCCCCACTGAGTCTGTGTTGCCCGTTTCTGGCTCGATGACCTCATGTTGCCAATGGTTTTACTTTCCATCTAGAATCCCAGGCGACCGATGGACAGCAGCTGCACCCCACCTGCCAAGCGGCTCAAAGCGGGGATTCACAGCTTCCATGCAGCGCCGGGCAGGGGCAGCCGCAGCAGCAGCCCAGAGCTCTGGAGAATCGCACCGCTCCCAGCAAATCTGCGTCCCCACAGCCAGGGAGGGGAAAGAAGAAGGCAGGACCGCCGATCCCCGTCGCGCACGTGGCACCGGCAGCGGAACGGCCTGCCAGGAAGCGACAGGCTGTCTCCTTCCCTCCGGGATCAGTGGAAGCTGCCAAGCTGGTGTTACAGAAAAGGAGGCGGCTGACAGCAGCAGATGTTGGTAAGAGGAAACTCCTGCTTTTCTGCCTGCACCCATCGAGAGGCTGGGTGTTGCCATCCCCCTTTGGTACAGTGCTGCCAATTGGAAGGGCTCTGCCAGCTCTGCAAGAGGTCTCCTTTGCCAAGTCAGTTGGGACGTTCTGTCGTTCTGTGATAACACAAGGGTGAAGGGACCCAGAAGGACTGGGTATAACGTTTGTGTTGGGCACTGTCTGTGTGGAGACTGCTTTTGCGTGGAGTCTGTGCAATGCCTTCAGCAGGCTGTGCTCTGTGTGAGACAAAAAAGCAGTATCCAGTCCCTCCTTTTCGGTTTTGAAGTCCAGTGTCTGCAAGTATGACGTGTTTGTGTTCCAGGAGCTCCTGCAGCCTGGAGGGTGATGATGTCTCTGAAGTCTGGGCTGCTCTCTGAAAGCACGTGGGCCTTAGACACCATAACTGTCCTGCTCCACGATGACAGCAGCATCGCGTCCTTTGACCTCAGGCAGGTGGGTGAAGATGCTCAGCACCGAGTGCTCACTGAGCTGTGGATTTCCATGTGGTTGGTGTGCAAGCGCGTGATCTCTCCTCTCTGGTGGGACGTGACGCCTCTAAAGCAGAAAGGGAACCGTGGTGGGGAGGCCAAGAGGGGCTTTGCAGCAGACACTGTGAAGGGCTGAAGGCTGCTCGCCTCTCCTGGTGCAACAGCTCAGTCTTTGCACACGGGTCAGTGTGCAGCGTGGCTTGGGTGCCTCTAGAAGGGGCAGCCTGTCTCCATGATTTGCCTTGTGCCTACAAGGCTGTTGTACAAACTGTTCCACTATACTTTAGAGGCTGCTCTGCTTAGCATTGTCTCTCTCCTGAGCGTTACTCAGAGAGGAGACAAAAACCGAGAGCATGTATGTTTACACAGGTACGAGCTGGCTGGATCCTGACATTCAGGGACCCTTGTTTCTGTTCCGAGCAGACAGAAAGGTCTCTTTTGCAAAGAGCTTATTGCCAGAATGAAAAGATTCCATTAATAAGCGACTCCTCAAGATCTCTGCCCTTAATGCAGTGGTTGTCCAATTGCTCACAGCAACCTCAGTTATTTTGTGGTCACTGATCCATCTTTCCTTCCTTCCCCTCCTGTTTTTCTCCTCCCCCATAGCTGCCAGGCCTGCTGGAAGTCCTGGTGGAATATTTCCGGCGCTGCCTGATCGAGGTCTTTGGAATCCTGGAGGAATATGAGGTGGGTATTTGCCCAGGGCAAAGATCACTCTGTGGGTTGGAGGGCGCCCACCTGCTCTGGCAGCTTGGCGGTGGAGATACCACTGAGCACATCCAGACCCACTTTGAGAGCAAGAGAGAGCACTCCGCAGCTGAGAGCAATGGAAATGCTCGGGAAGGGCAGGCTCCTCCATCTGACAGCTCCTCAGCAGTTCTGGAGGATGAGCCTTGCAGCAGAGACGAGGCCCCACTCTGCCTCACCCACGACCGGCAGGGCTCTCTGGCGAAGCGCTGCATCTGTGTCTCCAACATCATCAGAAGCTTGTCGTTTGTGCCGGGCAATGACGCCGAGATGTGCAAACACGCTGGGCTGCTGCTGATCCTGGGGAAACTACTGCTCTTACACCATGAGCACCCAGAGCGCAAGAAGGCAGCCCTGAGCTCGGAGAGAGAAGAGCTCGAGCAGGACCAGGGGCTGAGCTGCGGCCAGGAGGAGTGGTGGTGCGACTGCCTGCAGGAACTGCGTGAGAACACACTGGTGACGCTGGCCAACATTTCTGCCCAGCTGGACCTGTCCCCTCTCCCAGAAAGCCTCTGCTTGCCCATCCTGGAGGACTCCTCCACTGGGCAGTGTGTCCATCAGCAGAGGCCCAGGACCCTTTTCCAGCGCTGGGGTCGAATGCCGTCCTCTCCCCTCGGAGCCTGGCTTTGGAAACGCTCAGCAAACTGAGCACCCGGGACACCAACGTGGATTTGATCCTCGCAGCTCCCCCCACCAGCCACTTGGAGATGCTGTACAACACTCTGCTGCATTTCCTCCTCAACAAAGAGAGCCCGGTGTGCCGAGAGATGGCAGTGGTCCTACTGGACGCCTTGGCACAGGGGGACAGCCTGGCAGCGAGGGCAATTGCCTCACAGGAGAGGAGTGTTGGCGACTTGCTGGGCTTCTTGGAGGACGGCCTGGCCGCCACATGGTGCCAGCAGAGCCAGGCTGGCCCGGTGCCTGAGCAGAACGCGCCCTGCGAGCCGCCGAGCGTGGACATGATGCGCCGACCAGCTCGGACGCTGCTCGCCTTGGCTGAGGCGGGCGAGAGCCGCTCGCAGTTCACGCTGCACGAGTCGCGGCTGTTGGACATCTCCGTGTCGCCCGCGATGGATTCCTTGGTCTCCCAGGTTATCTGTTCTTCATTGCCTGGCCCTGACAGCTGCGGGGTGCAGCTCACCCTGTGAGCATGCGTGAGCGGAGAACTGAGAAGCCAACGGTTGCCCTTTATTTATGCACAGCCACCTCAGGAATCTGCTGCCTGCCCTGCGCTGTCCTGCTTCTCTCTTGGAGGATGATGTCCCCATTTCCTTTCCCCTTCTCCTTCAAATTTCTTCAAATTTGTCCCAAATCCCTAATTAAAAGAGACAAAATTCTTTCTACGTGGAGGACTCTCAAATTTTATTTTAGCCAAAGTTACTGTCTTCTACTATGCATGTGGGGAGAACAACTTGTCCCCCTTTCCCCACTCCTTTCTAGCATGATGAGTCACCACGCTGATGACCTGCAGAGCGATATGCAGGTATTTGATCTCTTGCCAGGTGCCCGTCCCTCCCTGGGGGATGCTGTACAGGGCTCTGCCTTTTCAGTCATTGCTGCCTCAGCACCACTCAACTTGCAGTGTCTTTTTCCTACTTTTGTTTCCTTTCTAATCGAGGTGTGAGAAAGCCCTAGGACTTCCAGCCGAAGTTGCAGATGCAGACACACAACTGTGATTTTTCAGCAATGACTTCTGCACTGGGAACCCAGAGCGACTGGGGAGGGAACAAAGGGGGACACTGAGGGCGGCCCAGGGGCCCCCAGAACCACTTGGACAGGGACCGAGGGGACATGGAGGCACAGAATCACCAAGGAGGGGACAATGGGGGGACGCTGGGTGCACCAAAACCACCAAGGGACAGCAGGAGAACACAGGAGTAATGCGGGGCCCCAAAAGAGTGAGATTATGGGGGCATCCCATTGGGGTTAGGGGCTCCTAGAGGTCCTGACTTTGAGGGGGGGGTGATGGTCTTGGTGGTGGGAGGGTTAGGAGGTCGCTCATTGGGGCTGGGGACTCCGGGGACTCCAGGGTCTCCTATACGATTTGTTGGAGGGGATCTTACTGGTCTTGGGAGGACTGGGGAGTCCCATTGTGGCTGGGGGTCCCGTTGGGCTGTGGGGCTCTCTGGGCTCCTGTTTCAATGGGGAGAGTCCTAAAAAGGGCTGGGAGGTGTGTGCATTCCCAGGAGTCCTGTCTTTCTTCCAGGGGTTTTATTATATTTGGGAAGAAATGGGGAGTCCCGTTGAGGTTGGAGTTCCCATTGGCACTGAGGGATTTTGGAGGGGTTGAGAGGTCCTGGGGCAACGTGAGGGGACTCCATAGGGGTTGGGGTTCCCGGGTTTGCAGTCATCCCCCAGAGACCTGCAGCCTAGAGCTCTGGCTCCACCCCTTCCACCTTGCCCCCCCAGCAGCCCCTCGAGTCACCTCAGTGTCCCCTCAGTGACTCCAGGAGCCCCTGCTCTGTGGCAGGATGCAACAGGACTGCTCCAGAACCACACTGCGTGGTTCTGTGGCCGGGGGCCTGGGGGTGAACCCTGTCACCTCCCTGCTGGGTCTGGGGGTCTCCAATCTCCTGCCATTTCAGGAGGGGACATGGTGGCATCAAGGGGACACATGGTGATGCGCGTAGGAGGTGACGGGTACATGGTCACCATGGCCTTGGTGATACCAGGACCCCCACGGGGAGCCCAGAATCCCCTTGTGGGGTCATGGTGGCTTTGGGCATTCCAGAACCAACAACGAGGATGCCAGGAGCTCTGCCACGGGGACACCGGGACCCCTTGGTGTGCTTGAGGTGGCTTTGGGGATACCAGAAACCATCACAGGGCCACTGGGAAGCAACATGGAAAGCACACAGCAGAAGTGACATAGAGGGGGGCATGGAAGGGACACACGAGGAGGTGATACGTAGGGACACAGAGAGGAACAGAGGGACAGACATGAGCAGGGGACACGGGAGGGGATGCATGAGTTCTTGCTAACACATTGAGGAGAAACTGACACGGAGCCAGAACTTTGTCACGTGATAACATTTTTATTAAACAAAACCATCTTTGTAAAACAAAACTCTCTTCCCGTTTTCACTGGCCACCTCCGCCACTTCCTCCCCCAAACCACAGGATGTCCTCAGGATGTCCTCAGCACGCCCCCAGTGCTGACCTCCATTTTGTCCCTGACATCCCCAGCCAATGTTTGGGAAGTGGTACGAAGTTCTGTACACCAGAATGAGCTTTCGTGGAAATTATAGGGGCTCAAACAAACCTGAGTTTTTCTGTATGGTTCCCCATAAGAGATTGCTTTAAAAAACAAACAACTGTGAAATCCACCACATCCATGCACTGTGCAGGGTGGAGCGAAGGAGGCGCAGGAGCAGCTAGAGGGGTCGGCAGCAGTAGTTCTAGTGGTGCAACAGCAGGCAGCAGCAAAGGCCGGCCCTGCAGCTCAGAGAGCTGCCCGAGGGATGGCAGCAGCCCCCACAGTGGGTCGGGGGGGTCCAGGCAGCAGCCCGTGCTTCCTCGCTGACCTCCTGCTGTACTGTGGGAAGTCGGGGAGCTGGGCGATGAAGCAAGGAGGGGCAGGGCTGCTGGAGACATCAGGGCTTTGTGGCTCCATGGCACTGATCCATGCAATGCGTTGTTCTCTTTCCTGGCTGTCTACTTCCCCCAGCAGCTCGTCCTGAAGCAGGTCACCCTTCAGGTATTTCTCTCTGACTCTGGAACCATCTTGGTTCTCCCGGGGATCCTCGAGAGCACCTGCCACATCTGAAACAGCCAGAGCATCCCCTCAAACAGCGACAGCTGCCTTGCTACACCCACTCTATGCAGACACCCACCTGCCAGCTCTGCGTCCTCAAACTCACCGCTGATCCAGGTGAGCAGCTCCTCAATGTCCACCATACCATCCAACACATCTGAGCTGGTCACCACTGCTAGAAATGAGTCATTGGTTCAATTTTACTTACACAAAAACACATGTTGGAGAAGCAGAGCTCAAGCATTCTCGTTGGACATCTGAACTCTTACCCATCATGAGCAGAGGGTGAGAAATCTTACTCAGAATCCACAACGACAAATGATGCTTCCATGCTGATTGCATTCCATGCCACAGAATGGCCAAAAACTCCATCAGCCAAGCACTGGCAGAAAACAAGAGTACACATTTTTAGCATTTCATCATGAATTAAAAGTATAGACTCAGATTACTATTAAAATTAAAAGGGAAAAAAAATCTCTATACATATGTACGTTAGTCTCCAAGTTGCCAGGCATCAGTTTTCAATGGAGAAAAGCCATATTTGACATCTGCTTCTATAGCAGAGTCCATCTGGCTTTTGAAAGTTATTCTGTTGAGGATAAAGACATGAACATAGACTAGAACCTCCTCTCGCTCTCATAATAGAAGCGACTTGGTGCCATCTCTTTGAAGAGGGACGATGGGAACTCTCCCAAGATCCCTTGGTTCTGACAGATGTGGTGGCCACGTTCCTCAGAGCCCTGGCACCCCGAGATCCTCATTTTCCAATGCAGTGCTCTCTTCCAATGACACACAGAGCAGAGCAAAGCCCACGATTTTGCTGCATGTGAAAGGTGTAGCTAAGTATGAGGCCTGAGAGGAGACTTTTTCCTTCCAACTCACTCTCCTTTAGATCCCTGGTGGGAATAGAAGGGATTTTTGGGAGGCGCTGGGAGCAAGACACTGCAGCTGGGCAACTTGTAGGGAAGGGATAAAGAGAAGCAGAGAAATGGCTGCCTGCCCTCAGCGTTCTGACCTGAAATCCTCCCCAGGGTATGCATCCAGGAGAAGAACTGTCCTGTTTTTTGAGAAGTTTCTCTTGTACAGAAAATCATTGGCTGTTGGACCACAGGGAAAGAGATGGAAGAAAATGCAAGAAAGGCCTTGTACCAGGTCAGGTGTAAATTATCCTGATATTACAAGTAGAATAGGAGGGAATATCACAACTGTTTCCAAGAAGCTATTATCACATCACCCACCCCAATTGCTCATTACTGTGACTTGTAGCAGACTTTCCAAGTCACAGTCTGAACCAATACATGAGCACGAGGGCCTGGTGCAGGAGAGAGACGAGGCTGCATTCCTCAGCTCCCCCCCTCCACATCCCTCCCTGCACTATTTTGCCTCTGTTTGTTCCACACCCCCTTGCCTGGTTCACGATTAAGTGAAATGCCCTTCTGAAACGATTCTAAAGAAATGCGTTCCACATCACTCATCTTCCTCAGTGCCACACTGTGTAATCAATGACTATTAAGATGTTATAATTATGAAATAAACAAGAGAGTTTGATGAAGCAGAATATGATAACAAAAAGAGAACAAACAGAAGGCTTACCTCCTTCCCAGGGCTCACTCACAAAACTCCAGCAGGGACAATCTCCAGAAGAGCTCCTTCCCTACTGGCAGCCAGCTCTGAAATACGTTCAGGAGAGCAGCACAGCTGAATTGCCTTCACTGTGCTCCTCTGGCTGACTCATGGCTCGCCTCAGGTGATCACTCAGAGGTTCAGGCCGTGACTTAGCAGTTCCCATATGCACACCTAAACATTTCCTGAACACCTCCAGGGAATCTGACTGCAGTCCCTCCCTGGGCAGTCTGTCCAGGGTCCAACCACTTTTTTGGAGGAGTTTTTCCTAACGTCCAGCCTGAGAGAATTCTTGTTGCTCTCAAGGTTCTTTCATTCTTCACAAAGCTGTTTCAAAATCTTCATCTGGGAGGGAGCACATGAACCTAATGAGATTCAGCAAGGTCAAGTGTAGGATGTTGCACCTGGGTCGTGGCAACCCCAGATATCTGTGCAGGCTGGGAGAAGAACTCATGGAGGGCGGCCCTGCTGAGAAGGACTTCAGCGTCCTGGTAGACGAAAAACTTCACCAGAGCCAGCAGTGAGACCTGGGCTTGTTCAGTCTGGAGAAGAGAATACTCTGGGGTGTTGTAACCTTCACCCATTCATTTTCCCTGGGAGACCGCAGCTTGGCCAATTACCGAGGTGACACCAATATGGTGAACAGCAAAATGGTGCTTTAATGAAACTAACACGTGCTTATATATGGAAAGGGGAGGGCCTAACGCATTACAACCCGAAGATGGCGCAAGCGCCTAATACAACACTGGGGAAACCTGATGTGGCCTTCCAGTAATTAAATAGGAACTTATAAGCAGGAGGGAAGGGTGGTGCTATAAAGACTATAAAGACTAGAATGTCTTGAACCTCAACAAAATAATTTCAAAAGTCAGATGGACTCTTTTACAGAAGCTTGTTACATGAGAGCAAATCTGACTGCAGGAAAATCAAAACCCTTTCATGGTGACTTTGGTAAGTAACC